GCCTGATAGGCACTCACCTTCCCCAACTACTATGTGGCCCTAGTTAGGAGTATTAATAAGTCATGTAAACCGCTCAGAGCCTCCGGGATAGAGCAGTATAGAAATTGAAAGTTAAATAAATAAGCATTGTGCCCTCTGCTGGAACAGGTGACGGCAATAAATCGAAAATGAGATACACAGTCAATCCCAAATTAAAGAGACTGTCAAAAAGATAGATCAAACTGAGCAGGAACTTAAAGAAGCTGATACCAATGCCAAAAAGCTACAAAAACAAATGCAGGCAATGGAGAAGAAGCATCAAATAGATGAGTCTCAACTAACAAAGTTGCAAATGGAAAGAGCAAGCTATGCCCTAAGATTCCACGGGATCCCTGAAGAAAAAGGGGAGAATTTCATACAGATAATGTGCGAAGCCGTGGGACAAAGGGAAGATATAAAAGCAGAGACTTTGCAAAGCGATATTGATACGGTCTTTAGATCATATACAGAATTTATAAGGAAAAATAATCTGCCGGGAGAAGTGATGGTGAGATTCTCCAGAAGAAGCGTGAGAGATCAAATTCTCAAAGCGGCTAATGGAGTTACCCTGAAAATTAAGGGCAAAGAGATAAAGGTCTTAAAAGATATTCCATTTGAAATAAGGAGGAAAAGACGCAAATACAAAGACTTGGTCTTATTTCTACAAAAGAAACAAATTGCCTACAGATGGAGTTTGCCTGAAGGAGTCATCTTTAAGTTCGTGAATGGAAAAGAGAAAATTGACACTGTGGGAAAGGCAAGAGAATTCTTGCCTCTTCATAGCTGTCCAGCAGATGTGGAAGAAGAAGAAGAAGAAAAAGACAGTCCCAAGAAGGGTGGCGGTGATGGAGCGGAGTCATCTTCTGACAAAGAATCAGACTCAAATTTGGGGGCTGCGGCCCCAAAAACAGGCTATAAGTTGAGGAAGACAAAGGACAAAAAATGAGTTGTTATCATAATTCTGAAGTTCTAAAAAATGTTTAAACTATGCTATCTTAGGCTCTTTATAAAGTCATAGTAGATGATGATTTTATCTAGGTTCTTTATAAAGTATATAGATGATGACCATGTTCAATGGTTTTGCATGAGAACTTAGTTATATAAACATGTAATTGTTTTAAAGCTGTTTGTAGCACACCCACTCTTGGGTTTTTAGAGGTTTCTTTCCTTTATCCCATAGTTTGTAGACCCTTCCCCTTTTTTCATGTAGTGTTTAGTTATAGAAAAGGCAATTAAAAAATCCCCTTCGGGGGGCCAAAAACAAAACTAGACTCAGGGGACCAGACTTTTCTATGCCGTACGTTCACTTAGTCACTCACTGAAAGTCTTCCATGCAACTCGGATCAGACTGCATTCCGATGGCATCCTGACACTGAAGCAAATCAATCATCATGGCTAAGTAAGTCTCAGCAGATGCAAGTGTCTTTATCCATAAAATGCAAGGCAAGAGTGTCATCGTGGGCCTGCAGGTTTTCTGGGTCAACCTCCTTGGGGAGCCTGAGATTAGAGTCCCTTATAACCCCTCACATCAATTGGCCAACCTGTTCTACCACAATATTCTAATCATGATGTGCACAGAACAACTTTGTTAAGTGCAGGATCATACTGCCAAAGGGTAAAGAAAACATTACCAGACATCTGCACCTAATCAGAAATTTGGGGCAGCAGTAATTAGCAGAACAGTACAAGTCTAAAGTAGACATGATGGTAGGATGTTTTTCACAATGGTTATTTAAAGTTTAAAAACAGCTGACACTAAGGGGAATGGAGATAGATGCTGTCTTCCTTGTGTTTTTCACTGATGCAAATCATACATGCTATCTTTGTGACCCATACAGCAAAACACACAGACAGCTGCAGGATGTCTTTATATTTTACCCAGTGGCAAACAGAAATTCTAGGAACACAATTCTCATTGTAGGAAAGTTAACATCCTCCCCTGCAATGTTGTGCCCCTGTTCTGAACAGGTTATTTTTCACAGTTGCTGTTAAGCATAAAACCCCAGCAGGAAACTCATGGGTTTCCCAGCCATCTAGTTTGGCCCTTTAAAAAGGGCCAACAGTTCATCCAATAATTAGAAACAACCATTTACTAACTGATAATTTCATGTTATTATTTGTTCAATGCATTCTATTTTCGCTTCTCCAGAAAATTAAAATGGATAACATATGTACATATTCACAGTTTTCAAAAAAGGAAGTCACTTCCTCCCTGCTCTAACTTGTTTCAGTTCTGCGCTGTCATCAAATTCAGCTGTATTCCTAATACACAACCAGAATACTCTGTCACACTGTACAAATCACACTTGAGACTACTGTCTTCTTATACAGTTCTACTTACAACCATAAATGATACACATAACAAATAGTTTTGCCACCATGCATAAATGATATCTGCACCAGTTGAATAGTGACCTAATAGTCCTTGAAAGTACAAGTCTCTCTTCAGAATGATGCAGTCACCAGCATTTTTGTGTGGTTGTATTCCTAATATATGGCAGGATCTTGCAACATCCATCCATATGAATGATCCAGAGGTGATGATTTTTCTACAAATTCGCCCCAGCTACCCAAACGTCAAAAAAGATAACTCATAAGGCCCCCTGGGAGCCCGGAGCCCTGCTCCAAACAGTCTCTCTATACTTGCCTTCACAAAGATTGAGCTTTTCCTCAATGAACAGCAAGCCCTTCGCAAGGAGCTGGTTCTGCCAAAGAGAAGAGAAAAGGATCTGAGTTTGTAGAAAAAGCCAAACATACTTGAAGATTTCAGACTTAAGAGCACCATTTGTAATGGATTCAGATAGCAGTATGTTTATCATGTTCCAGTTACTATTTGGCCAATCTGTAGCTTATTTATATGACAAAACAAACACTTGCAATGTGAATTTCAGAAAGCCAAGCCATCAAATGACAGCTGCAGGAAATCGCTTTGTAATCGTTTGTTAATCTACACGAACACAGTTTCAAAGCAGACTCTGTGCTACAGACCGTCAAGCATGCTGCATATTTTCACTGTGAAACCAAGAGTCAGTATTATGACAGTCAATTCACAAGGACTGGATTTTGAGCAATATAGGCAAAGACCCTAATTTTGCAACCTAAGTTTAGCAAGTTCCTGAGAACATTTAATTAAGTCAATCGCCATCCTGGATCAGGACTGACTTGCATAGAAACCTGCTTCTATACTTGATTTACAAAGCACAGTGGTGGCCCTGGTCAGTATTTGCATGGGAGACTACCAAGGAATACCAGCGTCACTACATAGACGCAGGCAACAGCAAACTACATCTGAACATCTCTTGAGTTGAAAACACTAATGGGGGTTGCATAAGTCAACTGCAACTTGACAGAAAAAAAAACATGAGATAGAGGATTATCTGAAAACATCCAGCAATATCTTTATTAAGGAGTGACACACACATTTGGGTAGCCAAACAACCATGTCCCTATGTTTTTAGAACAAGGCAATGGAGAGCAATGTAATCAGAAGGAAAAAGAAAAGATACTCTAAATGTTCAGCCTGAATGGAAGAGAAGCTACTCCCTTCCATTCCCTTCCTCGAACACCTGGCAACGGTGATTCATGCTATGGTCACCTCGAGATTGGACTACTGCAATGCTCTCTACATTGGGCTGCCCTTGTCCCAAATCCGGAAGCTGCAGCTAGTGCAAAATGCAGCAGCCAGGCTGTTGATGGGCATTGATACATAACAGCACACCTGGCCTGTGCTGAAGGCATTGTACTGGCTGCCAATAGCATACTGGATTCGCTTCAAGGTGCTGGTTTTGACCTTTAAAGCCCTATATGGTCAGGGGCCTGCCTAACTGAGGGACCGCCTTTCCCCATATGTCCCCCAAAGAGCACTGAGGTCAGGGTCGCAAAATCGCCTGACTCTCCCTGGTCTGAAAGATACCAGATTGGCTGCTACCAGAGCTAGGGCCTTCTCAGTGGCGGCTCCACACTGGTGGAATGAGCTCCCAGAAGACATCAGGGCCCTGCAGGACCTTTTACAGTTGTGCAGGGCCTGTAAAACAGAGCTCTTCCACTAGGCCTTCGATTACAAGCCACCACTGATGAATGAACTATTAAAAACCAAACTGCTATGGCCCTTATGCTATTGGCACTAAGAACAACTATGGATACTGGTTTAGCTATATTGGACCACCATACAGCAATTGCCATCTGCACTTAATTGCACTTTGTATGTATATTGTTGCTACGTGAATTTTATAATATTGCACTTATGTATTTGTGTTTCATTGTATTTTAATCTGTTGTACGCTGCCTTGAGTCTGCCTGTGCACGAAAGGTGGGTTACAAATGGAAATATAAATAAATATGCTCATTGAGAAACACATTTGTTTGTAACAGCCTTTTTTACAATGGTCTACCTATATTCTACATTTATCAGAAATATTATGTCTAATTAAAAGAAAGAGTACTTGGAACTAAAGAAAGAAACTACTGGAGTTAGACAGTGGTCCTTTAAAAAAAATTATATAAGAACATAAGAAAAGCCAATGTTGGATCAAGCCAATGACCCATCTAGTCCAACACTCTGTCACACACTGGCCAAAAATACCAGGTGCCATCAGGAGGTCCACCAGTGGGGCCAAACACTAGAAACCCTCCCACTGTTACTCCCCCGAAGCACCAAGAATACAGAGCATCACTTGCCCCAGACCAAGAGTTCCTATCTATACCTTGTGGTGGCCTATAGCCACTGATGGACCTCTGCTCCATATGTTTATCCAGTTCCCTCTTGAAGCCATCCATGCTTGTAGCTGCTGCCACCTCATGTGGCAGTGAATTCCATGCGCTAATCACTCTTTGGGTGAAGAAGTACTTCCTTTTATCTGTTCTAACCCGACTGCTCAGCAATTTCATTGAGTGCCCACAAGTTCTTGTATTGTGAAAAAGGGAGAAAATACTTTATCTGCTCTATCCCATGCATTATATTGCAAACCTCTATAATGTCACCCCTCCATCATCGTTTCTCCAAGCTAGAGAGCCCTAAGCGCTTTAACCTTTCTCCATAGAGAAAGTGTTCCAAACCTTTTATCATTTTAATTGCCCTTTTCTGCACTTTTCCCAATGCTATAATATCCTTTCTGAGGTGTGGTGACCAGAATCTTTGTCTCTTTTCCTGTCAGACACATTTTTAAAATTAACAATACAACAATAAAGTAAGATGCCACAAGTATTTTCTTGGAGAAATTATGTAAAAATAACAAAGTGGTTACTACAACTTGTAGAAAAATTCTTTCCCTTATTATTTTCCATGGTTTCCAGGTAATGATAACCTTTTTGGAATGTCCAGGAAAAACAAACATGGTTTTGGAAATGCATTTGTCCCCAAATACTTCACAATTTATTGACGCAATATCATGAAGAAAGTGGTTTGGATCTGTGACATAGAGTAAAAAACAATCTTACGAAGAGACAAGAGTGAGCTGGGGAAAATTCACCGTAATATTAGAGGGCATGTGCAATGGATGTGTGTGCACATACAGCACACAGTCTTGGCCAGGCAACCGGTCAAGCTCATAAGAACATAAGAACATAAGAGATGCCAATGCTGGATCAGGCCAAAGGCCCATCCAGTCCAACACTCTGTATCACACAGTGGCCAGAAATACCAGTGCCATCAGGAGGTCCACCAGTGGGGCCAGGACATTAGAAGCCATCCCACTGTTGACCCCCCCAAGCACCAAGATGACAGAGCATCACTTGCCCCAGAGTCCCTATCTATACCTTGTGGCTAAAAGCTCTCTTCAGATCAAACCCTTGTTTAACGTTATGATTCTGCCTTAATCCCAGTCACATACAGAACATTTACTACTCCCTCCATTCTCTCAGGGGCTAACTCTGTTGCCAGATAAATTGGCCAAGACACAAAGCAGCCAATGGCTTAGCTGAACAACTTTTACACTCATTTGGGTTGTGTCTTTTTCTGAACTAAGAATGATGAACATATATTTTTGTTCACCTACTTTTCTGAGAGAAATCCAGGGCAAATGTATACATGTGTGCAATTGTTTTTTTCTGAAAGTGAAGGAAGCTGCTATACTTACTGTATGGCCTGGAAGATTACAGAGGTTTCTAACCTGTATGTACATATGGTTCCAGAATGTTCTAACCAGCTGAAGACACTGAAAAGGCAGACAATCAACTTTGCAAAAGTCTCTACCAAACAGCCAACATTCCTGGAAGTCACTAATCAGTGAAATGTATGGAAGTGTTTGGCTGATTTATTCCAACCTGTTGAAAAAGAAGAATGGAAGAAAAGACTATTGCACCTTCTTAGGGTGCCAAGTGCCAGTTTCTCCATGTGCTAGAACACTTTGGATTGGAGGGGCAAAATGTTATTGGTTGAGCTACATTACGATAACACATGAACATGTTAAAACAGTAAGAATGGTAACTTTCTGTGTGGAACCATGAAACTTCCTCCATACCTCTGCAAGATGCCCTCTCTTGGGGGGGGGTAGTATTGGGGAAAACAGGAACTTCTATTTGGTGACTAACTACACCTCAACAAATCCCTACATGGAGCTTTTTCCACAGAACTTTGATATACAGTGACTAGAATGTAGCTACTTGGTAATCTCATTTGTAGTCTTTGACAGATACAGCACTCTGAATGGTTTCATGGAGACTTGCCCATTTTAATGAAAGCAATACTGTGCATGCTTATCTTTCACATAAACATACCCACACACATTTTACCATTAAAGTGAATGGGAGAGCACTTCTGGATGGAGACAGTTTACAATCAATTTCTATTTACAATCACAGTTCCTATTTACAATCAATCACTAGATAAGGATGTTCTTAATTACATTACAGGAAGACCTCTCACAGAATAATATCAGCACACAATCAATATCAGTTTGATCGTAAGAATATCAGTATCTATTTTAGTTTTGTTAGAAAGAGCACTGCGTAGGTTTAACACAATGTGATATTTCTACAACTCGAAATATCTGAGCATTGGTAGGATCAAGGTAAGGTATGTTCTACAGGTAACTATGGCATAAAGTTATTTATAGCATTATACATTGAAATATCAATTGTTTTAAAACCTGTTTAGAATTTGCCTTCTTTTTCCACTCTCCTCTCAACAAGTATAATCCCCCCGCCCCACATACACATACAAAAGTAGTATTAATGAGTGCCTTCCTGGAGTTTTTCTACCAAGGGGCTTTTATCTTCTTCCATAAAAGTGGATAGTTTCAAGTATTCGGTAAGGAATAAAGCTAATTTGAGCCTCCAGAGTTATAAAGCAGTTTTCCTTTTTCTGTCCTATTCCTCTGTAAGTGGCTCTAGTTCCCATTCTTCAGTGTTCAGATCATTCTTTACAGACACATACTATTCATACTGTGCTGCCTGTTAGCAAATTGCTTAAAAGGAAGAGCTTATCCATTACTTATAAAATGTTCCTGTTAAGCAGTCTGGCCTTTATTGTAAATTTAACTCCTCTGGAATGAAAAAAGCATCTGCATTTAATTGAAAACAGCATCTGCTTTATTGTACAGGGAAATTCCATTATAGGAAAAGTTACCAGGTAAGACAGGAGGAAGCCCTAAGCTTTCAAGTCATATTACCACCATCTACACAGTGGCATATTTACTGGAGACCTATGGTTAGCTTAATATTAGAAGATTTCCTTTCCTAACTGCTCCACTACCACCAGTTCCACCTA